ATGTCAAAGAAGCTTCTCTATTCTCTTGTGATTTTTTTGTAGGAGGGACTGTATATGATATGATATTTGATCATGTATGGGAATCAGGGTCTGGAATTATAAAACACTTATTCCTCTTCTTTTTTATTTTTTTTTTACTTGGACAAGAGACAGGTATAAGTACACATAGCCAGCATCAGGAATTGGGGATATTCTGCTTACCATACTTGTTCATCACTCCACTCTCTCCTGCAGGTATTAACACAGCTTTTTTCTTTTTTTCTGTTTTTCTTTTCTGCCTTCATCTTAAGCTACCTCTATTGTACAATTTACAGTGTGGTTCAGCAAAGTGATAACTTTGTTGTTTTTCATCTTTACATACAACTGCTTTTTGTGTTTTTACTTCTGACATGGCAAATTGATGACATTGTCTCATTACCAGAGCAAAGCTTTTCCAGGCAACAAACTGCATATATACAATTCTGTGAAAATAACTGCTCTGTACAGAAGAGCTTGAAAAAGTAACATGTCTGTAGGCTAATAGACTAAAGACGTATTTTGAAAACAACTGTTGACCAAAAACTCCTTTCATATCCTACCATACACAATTGAGCGTAAAAAGTGTAACGAACATTTCGTTTCACCTAGCTACAAATTCTGTTTAAATTAATTATGGATAAATTGTACTTCCACACTTACTCTGTCTGAATGTGTTAAAAAACCAAATGATTCTTCAGCCAAAAGTATTGAAAATTATGTACAATATTAGAAGGTACATTATTGACATACCTGAGCCAATCCAGGACGGAATTCTTTTAGAAGGCATTTGGTAAGAATATATTTATAAGGCAAGTGCTGCACAAAGGCAGGCTTTATAGTTATAAGGAAATTTCAATAAAAAAAGGAAAATAAAAGAATCAGAATGCAATTGTATATTAATAAATTAGATGATTGGATTTGTTTAATCACTGGACTACCAAAATATCATAAAGAAAATGGCTGTCAAAATAAATCAGCTGATATTCCACCTTAGATATCATTGTAAAAACAGCATTATGAAATGTCAACAAGTTTTTAAATGAAGTGGGTTTCAAAAGTCACAATAGTGCAACTTAGCCTCATTTTCTATCAAAATTACTCTACACACATGAAACTGCATTATGTAAAACAATTATACAGAAAAACATAATCTAAGTTTTTTAATGGTAATTACCAATCATCAGTGGGAGTACTCCAAGAACCAATTTATAATCTATAATCATCATATAATGAGCTTTCTAATGAAACATGTCTGATGCTATATATATCAAAGTATTTACTGTAATCAAATAGTAATAATCATTTACGATATTACTCTGTGCTACAGGCAGACACGACAAAACAAAAATCATGAAAAACTGATACCCTTTGGAGTAAGTGAACTGATCATTCCAAGTGTAGCAAACAATAGCCTTTGCATAATCTCCATGCACATAAAATGGGAAAAAAGTACTTTTTCATCTTGATTGAAGGAGTAAGAGATGAATGTAACAACTCCATCAGCAATGACTGGCTGCAATGTGGGTTTTATCATGTGTGAACAACAGGAGTATAACATTATGTATTTCCTATAACTTACAACATTCACATGCCATGATTGCACATTCAGTTGCTTGCAATGGTATACACTGGGCTTAAGTCATACCACTTGGTAGTAATAAAAATAAGTTCAGAATATTGAGACACAGGGAATGGATTAGAATTGGTGTGGCTTGACCCGAAAAAAAATAAACATTTCCCACAAACCTGCCATAATTCATTATTTAGATTGTGTCTAGAAAGGATTTGGAGTGTTAATTTAAATGACGGCTTTATCAGACTTCTAGTAATTGAAAAGGCAAATGCCTCAGCTATTAACTGGCCAATACCATTCTGAATTAACTCTTCTGTGTTAGTAATAATGTTAGATACTCCAATGCAGATGATCACATTACGAAATCAGTAATAATACAAGTGGTAAAAAACTGAATCATGTAATGTGATAATATGAACATTCCACACCCAGAGTGACACAGAAACTACTCAATTTGTTGGTTTAGTTTTCTACATCCAGTTTTCTCATGAGAGCACATAGAACAAAAGATAAGAATTGCTTTTTGATGTACATCGATTTTCATCAAGAAAATACACAAAATGAAAAGTTCCAGTGTCTTGCATTTAGCAGACATACTACAACTAAAACTTATTCCTGAGTTAAAGTTACATCCATTGTCACTTATTGCCAGGTACCTCTTAAAATCTTTTTTTTTTTCATTTTTGTTTCTAAAAATCAAAAACATAGCCATCTTATAAGATATTCTATAGAAGGGCATCATCTTACAAAAGCTTTGTGTGGATGATTTATAACCTTTATTGAACTTCAGCTTTTATGTGTAAGTAAAAAACTAATTTATCTTTATTCGCAGAATCATAAACAGGCACAATTATGGCAGTGGACTGAATTACATGTTCCTATTTACTTAAATCAAAAAGGTGTATTTTT